CAATATAAAAATTCCAGTCTTAGGACAATCTTTATCATCGCTACAAAAACAATATTGTATAAAAAAATGCATAATTAGTTTTTGATTTTTTTCCATTATAACGATCTCTGTCTTTCTGGTGAGGGGCATAAAAATAGCACAAGAAATTATATGGATACGATTTTTAAATAAGACACTTATGAGTTTTGATTGCTTCCGCATGATAGATTTCACTGCATTTCTGTTTATTTATCTTAGGAAGGAAAATAATCAGCCGACATATTAAAAAAATAAAAGGTAAATAATAATAGTAAACCTGGAGATCTATATTTATTTACGGAAAAATTCAAAGACGTAAGGCAAAGTGCTGCTTCCATTGTCCGCGAAATCAAGCCAAACACATTTAAAACCACTAAATATCTCTGGAATGAAATTAAGGAGGAATTTTCTTTAGGGATGTAGTGTTTATAAAATACCAGATGTCAAATTCACATATAGGTTTGGAAGCTTTTCACCGATTTACCTCGCTATTCAACTGAGGAAAATGAAAATAATCCCTCGTCTTTTTATGACAAATTGCAATTTTCTCGATGATATTCCGTAATTGAAGTTTGAACCACGGACATCCGCAACATAATAAATCTGAGTAAACACTAAAAAAAGACCGAAAATTGTTTTCATATTTATTTAAACTAACATATCACGACATAGGTAACTGATGGGTACAGAAGAAATTTTACTCAAATCCGATATAATTTTGTTCTTCTTTTGTCCTTCTCTTTCATGTGCTTGTCTCCGCTATTGTGTTTAAATGCACACACTTTTCACTTTCAATAAGTTAATTAATTGCTTGATTATTTTCGACAACATTATTATTATTATTATTTTAATTTTAGACTAATGAATTGAATTCTTAGACTAAAAAAAAGACATTGAGCACTAGCAACACAGGCTATCGGCTCTAATTTAAATAAATGGATATTAGATAATGAGCTTAGTAGTATTAATAAAGTAAAATATTGAATTGATATTCTGTTCTGAAGCTGATTGTAGAATGTTCAAAGGGTTAATCGTTCCAAATGCAATACTTCTAGCCAACGAAAAGTTGAGGCAGTCGCAGAGAATGTGCTTTATAGTAAGAGTTTGTCCACAACAGCAGATTGGGGGAGAAGACTTCTTCAGGATCCATTGGTGAGTTGCAATTGTATGACCAAGGCGAATTCTCGAAAATGTTTGGATCTTGGTTTTCTCAACATTTGTTGGATATAGAGGTGGAGTTAATTGAGGGTTAATGCAAGAGTAGTGTTGATGATGGTATTGTAAATTTCTTTCTGCAATTTTCTCTTTAACTTTTCTTCCAATGTATCTTTGAAGATCCAACTTTTCCATGACATCATCCATAATTAGAGGAGCAGAAGCAGCATACTTTGCCGCTCGATCAGCCTGCTCATTTCCCAGTAAACCGATGTGACTTGGTACCCATAACATTTTAATTTTTCCGTCGTGTGTAGTAATTATATTCCTTAATTTGTTGATGGTGCTCCATCTCGAAGTCGAAGGGTTCCGGGTAGCTAGTAATATAGACAAACTGTCAGTAACAATGACGGTTTTGAGTTTGTTTTTATGGGCAAGGTTGGCAGCGTGAAGGATAGCTCTGGCTTCGGTTATGAAAGTTGAAGTGCTTTCGTGAAATATGTGGTAGAGAAGAAGCCGTCCTGTAGCATCTACCACCGCACAAGCAGGAGGCAGACCAGGAGATTTTGAGCCGTCTGTGTACAAAAGATTCCAACCAGTATTGTCCAATACTTGGGTTTTCTCAGCTATTAGATTCCTGAAGACGTAATTTGGAGTATCTTCTTTCTTGTGCATAGACAGTGAGATGTCAAAAGAGCAGTCTTTCAAAATCCAGGGAAAATTAACACCAAAAGAGCGGGAAATTTTTAAGGGAATGTTCAATTCCTTTGCGATGCACAAACAATGGTCAATTGCAGATGGTGACTTTGGAATTTTCTTCGCAATAATAATCTTTCTTACGTCATCACCGAGAATGGATTTGTTTGAATTAAGAAGCTTAGGGACTATTTTAGCTTTTAACTCATACAGTCCATTTTCTAAGGTTGGGAGACCAGTTTCAATTATAATATTATTTGTGGGCGTCGTCCGAAAAGCATAACAACTTGCTCTGACGGCTTGGTGATAGACCGGTTTAAGGATGTTGATATTAGATTTGCAGCTATTGCCATAAATTATCAAAGCATAGTCAATCTTGCTTAACACAAGCATTTTGGTAAGATAAGCGATAGTGTTAATATGCGCATGGCTTCTCCAAGCAACGTACTGTATGAAATTTACCCTTGTTAAAAGGAAGTTTTTTAACCGAAGGCAGTGTGCTTTCCAACGATAATTGTTTGAAAACGTGAGCCCGAGAACATGGAGCGTCTGCACATTTAGTACTGGTAAGCCGTTAATATGCATCAGTAGGTTTCCTGCATCGCACATTTGTTTTCGACAAATGTGCATTTTTTTTGATTTTTGTATAGAGATTATAGCTCCTGACGAGTTTGCCCATGTGGAGATCTCACATGCAATAGATTCGAGGATGTTGATTGCTTTCGTGTTGTCTTTTTCTTTTGTAAAAATGTATACATCGTCCGCGTAGAGACAATGTTCCACTCTTGGTACACGGCAAAGAATTTCGCTAATTTCGTTGAAAGCGATTTGGAAAAGCGTGACAGAGAGAGGAGATCCTTGCGGAATGCCATTCATTAGCGGAAAGGAATCAGAAAGATGATTGTTGATTCTAACTTTGAAACGCCGATGCGACATGAATGATTTGATGTAGTTGAAGAATTTGGGTCCAACATTCCATGATTTCAAGAGTCTTAAGATAACATGAAGACCAACTCTGTCAAATGCTTTTTCGAAATAAATTGAGAGAATTGTTACGTGATTTCGTTCGGAAATTGCTTTGCTTGTGAAATAATCAATATGTAACAGAGCGTCGATGCATCTTCTACCCCGCTTGAAACCAACTTGTTGCTTTGTTATCGGGTTCTTGGATTCAAGAAACCAAGATAATCTAGATGCCATAATCTTCTCTAAAACCTTAGAGAGGCAAGATAAAAGAGAAATTTGGCGGTAATCATATGCGATGGAGACATTTTTTGACTTTGGAATAGGAACAACATTAAAAAATAAGTTGAACAAATTTTCCTTATCTCTCCACATGTTTATTTAAAATACAGAACAATATTTAGTGTGCACGTAAAATCGACGTAATTTATGCAATAATAATCAGAGACTTAAAAAATGCGAGAATGTCATTTGCTGCAACAATGTGGAGCTTATGCCCCACTAAATGCAGCAAAAAAGAAAAATTTACACCTAGTTAACAATAACCACATATAGTTAATCAAAAGAAAAAAAAAAAAAAAAAAATGAAATTTCGATGCTCTATATATGACGCAGGCATTGTAAAGTCAGATAAGATTATATATAGCTTAAAAATCAAATTTTAAAAACAAACGTGTACTCAGTTTCTGTGAGTGCGAGTGTGTGCTTTGACCAATTTGGCCCATTTTCATTACCAACTTGCACGCAAAAATTTCCAGTATTTTTAACATATTTAAAGCCGACGTCTTATATTCTGCGAACATGAAAAGATTTTTAAATCCAAACACACAGACGACCAGAAAAGTTTGCTTTCGAATTTGTTTCCGTTCAGATGTATATGCGCTTTATAAAGTTTGAATAATTGATTTAAATTTTTGTGAATTCTTTCTAAATCGTCTCAAAATTCTATTCGTACGGTTAACCCTTTGGGCGGGTGGGGGAAATTCTGTAATACCATAAAAAATGCTTATTTCTATTTAAATCATTTTTTTTTTTTTGGGCAGAAAGGAAGATGGTAGAATTAGTTAAAGCAATTTTTTCATATTTAAATATTAAACAAAAAAGAAGATATTTTGGAAAAGGATTAAAAATTGCAACCAGAGCCGGAGCCATTCTTGAGAGGTACGTTCAATTTAATACACGCTACAGGCTTGGCGTTATTTTTTTCGTTGAAATTTGCATTACATGATTCTATCTAGTGCAACATCGGGAATGGAGTATTCGCGGCGAATATTCGAAGTAAAACATTCGTCTCCTTTTTCCGCCGTGAGTCACCAAATCAACAGCATATGACTTCCTCAGTTGAAACATTCAATGATCGACCAACACAAGGCAATCTTATATTATTACTTATCGAAAATCCTATCACATCCCGCTAAAGGACGTTGTTTTAGCATATATAGTAAAAGTCTCCAGCGAAAAGCATGAAATTCCTAGGAACTGTTGCGCTCGAAGCCATGAAATATCGTTTATAAGGACGCTTTAGACGTATTCTTAATACGATTTGCTTAGTTGAAGTCCAAGTTAAGGGTCTTCGCAACTTTCTTCCAGTCGTAACAAAAGTTTTGACAAAACGAGTATATTCCCGTCTTTCAATAGCGGGCACAAACATTTCCATTCCTAATCTGTTATTTTTCCTGACCTAGAAGCTTCCACGTGACAATTAGACACAACTGTGCTAAAGTCATCTCCTAGTATGATATCATATGCGATTTTCCTAATTGTCTTATGCTGGATTCATTTATAAGATAAATCATAATTAGAAAGCTGCTCCAATCGGTTTCAGAAAGAAATTACATTTTCATAATAACAATTTCGAAGAAGAGATATGGTAGTGAGGCACGAGAACTGAAAGGCATGCTTGCTGTTAGATCTGAATTTTGTTTATTTTCTATTTCAAGCAAACATAAGTTTAACTGGTTTTAATTGTATATAGATTGGATGATAGAAATATATTGTACCGATGATGTTATATGGGCGTAAATGTTATTGTAACTGCATAATTTATATATACATATAAAATAGAAAATATACAAAAGATACCAAAATTTAATTATGAAGAGGAAAAATGACAGTAAGTATTGAACAAAAAGGGGGAATGTAAAAAGTCTTCGCTAGCTTCCATTTATTTAAAGCTTTTCTCGCGATGAGATGGTGACGTTAATTGCCAAATTTCCATTATCGGCGAATAAGCCTGCAATTGATGTATCGAACACTAAACAATCTGAATTATCGATGGCCGACATAAAACCTTGTTGTATTGAATGCGGCATTGCCTCCCATGTTAAGCGTCGTCCATTGCCGTTAATTTCTAAGCAGTAGACAAAATTTTGCGCCTCCTTTCGAGAACCGATTATTTGCACAACGGCGAAGAATTGCGGATGACCATCGTATTTCTCTCTTTTCTCGAGTACCAACATAAAATGATGCCCAAAGCATGACTGCATCATAACCCAATCCACGGCACCGGGTAAATTGATGTCGGTGGCCAAGAAAACAATGTCTTCTCCCTGAAGTGTAGTGATACTCTGGTGTGATATCTTCAGATGCTGCATGATGTGATCAAGCGAACCCTGCCATTTGCAGGTAGGTCCTGGGCAAGGGCACGGATAGGGACGATACTCGCAAATCTCTTCGTGCTGGGGTTTCTCTGTATAAAGCACAGCTGCTGGACAACCGCAACCTGAGTACTTGCACGGAAATCTTACGTTACAGGCAACTTTTTCCATTGCGAGATTTCGTATGTTAGCAAGCGGTCCACGGCATGTGGGGCAACATGCAAGTTTCGCGCGACACGAAACGCACACCAAATGTCCGCTGGAGCACTGAAGAATTGGTGGCAATACGTAATCGAAGCAAACCGGGCATTCGAACAGCGAGATTAAATCGGCGCTATTGCAATCATCACCGCCACCAGCAGTTAATGGTGATGTATTTGTCGACGTTATGCCGGTGCCTAAATATCGTACGCCAGTCACTATTGGTAATTCACGCTGTTTAGAGGTTGTTTTATTTGTCATTTGCTAGATATATATATGAACGGCTTTCTTTTTTTAAAAAGTACACAAGAAATAGAAAAAATATCTTTCAAAAATTGTCAAGCGATTCAATGGTATTTACATTTTTTTCAAGGGAATGACAAATCGAAAGTCAGGACCAATGCAAATTTAATTTCCAAATGAATTTTCCTATCTTTTAAAGTGAGCTCTACGTGAGCATACGTGGAGATATTGAATATCAAATGTATCAGCACCAATTTGTTAAAAGAATTGTGACCCGCGGGAAAATGAATAAAAAAGTACTATATTATCAAATTTTGAATAAGACTTTTCTGGAACAATTGAAATATTTTTCTAGTTTCCCTAAATTGTTGTTAAATGCTACTACTCTGTCATATTTTCCCCAGCTGTCTAAAGAGTACATAAAATTCATAAATATATTGTCTGCAATATTAATCATTGCCAGTTCACTTACGCATGCAGAAATGCAAAAATCGAGAAAATTGTCGATGCCCACGCAAATTTATAAGAGATTAGATTTTGTTTTCTTTCACTTTTCTGAGGTGTCATGTTTCTTAATTATAAAGTAAAGAAGGCGTAATGTTGAAAATTGTTCGGCACATCTCTCAAAGGAAGCGAGATTAACGCCTGTCTAAACAGGCGTTAATTATAAAACAAATCTGGTGCGACCTGGTTGATTAGTTTATTCTCAGTGACATGGGTACTAAAATAAAAGGGCTTACAGACTAGACGGCGACAAGGTAAGCGTGTTGATTCTCAATTAGATGTGGTCGGCTTCACGACGTAGTCAATTAATTTTTTCGCTTACAGAAACGTTGATATGGATATCACATAAAGGGAATTGGAGAGCAGAACGCGCCAAATTAAGTGCGAAATTAATTATGGTGGAGGTCGCGACGTGGTGGATTAAGTTTTCTCACAAATATCTTTTATTGAAGTAAGAGGTGAAAGATAAATTTTACTCCGTTCACTTTTTTATCGCAGCAAATAAGAGGATGGTGTGCTGAAGATTTTAATAATAATGGGTAAGCGAGTATCGGCCCGAGCCGAGCAAAACTTTCGTACTTCTTGTTCTACTTTTAGTTTTTTCGAAGTTACGGCTGCCTTTGTTTGCTACTGAAGGTTGGTTCCGTGTTTATATTCCCAGGCTTTTCGACCAACAGAAAATGTATATAATAATAAATAAATAAATAAAGACTTTTATTTTTTTTTTTCTTTATCGAGGACGTTAGCGTTACTACGTTTAATGCGTTAATCTGATCGCAGCTAAGGCCTCCTGTGAAAAGCCCAAGAATTTTTCCGTGATTTTATGCCATCACTTGAAATAGACGGATGCGAGCGCACTACTCGGCACACTGACTCGATAATCGACAGCTATAACCTGACATCAGCTTCCATACATTTCCCTTTTTTAGAAGTTAATAATTTTGTCCAAAAACGAATGCTTGATAAGGAACGGCTGTGTCACCACTTGTATGTATTTGACATTTGGCGTTTTGTTGGAAGTTTATTCCAAGATTATTGCTATGTTGGCTTACAAGTAAACACTATTGTGTGTTATTTAAAAGCATCAATTGTCAATTGACAAAATATATAAATTTCATCTTTTTATATAGTGTACGTAGGTTATGCTTTCACTAATTATTCGGTGTTGGTATTTTCCTTTAAGTCATTATTAAAGAGATTATTGCTCCGAATTCAAGTTCAATGTTAATCGTTTATTCGATTCATATAAGAAACGCACCTAAATAAAGCAACCATTCATTATATTGAACCAATATCGCTAAACGTACTTGGGTAATTACAGAGTGTTACATGGTCTTAAATAGGTGGGGATGAAAGAACACATGCTAAAAATTATGGTTTCCGTAGAGGAATAGTCATATCTACACCTTGGAAGTTGTTTATAAACCGTTACAATTCGGTTTGTAAGGTGTAAAAGTGCGTAATTGTGCATAATTAAGTTTTTTGATTTGTTTTAGACAAATCTGTCCCTCACCAATTGAAATCCACGAAAGCGATGGAACATATTCAGCAAATACATATTAATTATCAAATAATTTGTAATCATATTAAAAAGGGTATCCAAAGCTCGCTACTTGTCGAATAACGCTCTTTCTCGTTTGATTTTTATCCGTCTAGACATAAAATAAAACACAAAATTACACAAAAAAGTTACGGGTTTTAGACGTCAACGTATAGAAAACTCAAATAGATTGCCGAAGAGCAATAATTCTTCATCAAGTGTTAGGTAAGGAAAATGTAAACTGGTTTTATAAACAAAAAAAAAAAAGAAATGAGTAAATATTTCGACATGTATCTGGCCTTATTTGAGCAGACATCATAGTGAGAGGTCTTTGCGCACTTTTTGAGCTGCATTTTTCATTCATTAACAAAGTAGTTGACGTGCGATAAAGCATTCATATAAACTCATAAATGGATATATGACATATTTACACGTCACTTAAAAACTAGCAGCCATGTTAAAACGATCGTAAAGCATATCAATCATTAAGTGTAACGTTATGAGTTTCTACAGTTAATCGTTTTTGGTGCATTAAAACGATAAAAGGAGTTTATGTACGAGAAAAAGTCTTAAAGGACTGCAATAAGCAAATTCAACTCTTCAAGCAGTTTGCTGAAATAAATTGTACATTGTTTTTTACACCCTACATCACTTGTGGTAGTGAGTCATTCAGATTTTTTTTGTTTTTTCATCTATTGTACAATACAAAAGGAATCTTTCCTAACCGTTCATCATGTACTTGTGATAATTAAACTGAAACACATGTCAGTAGATAAAGTGCATTTACGACACTGAATTTTGGCCGAAGATCGAAAGCTATTGAACATGATTTCATTCGGACCATTTTTTCGACCGCTTCATGCTTCGTTATCCAAAAAAAAAAAAAATGTAATCATTATGAATAACTGCATTAAGCCAAATGGCGTGGGGCTGGGTGTTTGCTGACTGCAATGCTTTTATTAGTTTTTTCATATGTGTTTGAATGTCAATCTTTTCCACTGTGCCGTCCACGATAAAAGATGACGAGGCCGTGGACTTGACTGCTAGGTTTATACGCTCATTTCCCAAAACGATAATGATATTCCTTACATTGCGCCAATTGCAATTTAACGGTTTCGGATAGGTGTTATGACCAGCAAACCGCCTATGATGATAAGCATGTTAACTTTGATTTTGCGAGCAAAGTCTGTGGCTTGGAGAATAGCTCTAGCTTCGGTTGAAGGATTTTGAGACACTATCATTTAAGCTAAACTATATAACTATATACGAAAATTTTCTTAATACCCGCTGACAAAACATTTGCATGCATCGAACTGCTATCATTTGTCTGAATCCACTAAGTTTTGTAAAAGAAAATGCATTGATTCTATATTTTGTTAGAAAACTTGCTGAGGATATTCGTAACTACAACGAACTTTATTGTCCAAACAATTAATAATATATAGGTAGGCTGTAAACATACATACATACATAGGATTTTGACAGCTCACCATATTTATCAATTTCTCTAATGTAAGGAAGACAAATACGTTTTATTCTATGCATTTCCGTCATTAAAAATACGCTTATGGGTGCAATTTATACCCAAGGATTAGCAAGTGCGAAATGATACTTCTATTTGTCACCTTATGTCATAAAATAAATTGATCTTTTCGAATAGCGATAAAGTATCCTACTTTGTATATGTCTGACGCAAAGGCTAGAAAATACTTGTCACTTTAATATCAGAATGCGAAGAAAATGTAATAAACTGTATAACTTTAATGGAATTCAAACGAGTTTCAGACTGTGAATGCATTAGGGTATGAGTTGAAAATCCACTTATATTGCAAAACTGAAAAGCTGTGTGATGGCATTTATTATATAACAGTTGATAGTAGCAGAGGCTCATCATTAATGAATTAGGTAGGAAAGGCGAGAAATTTTCTTGTCCATAGATTAGCTAGTTGAAGCTTATCTCTCGAAATGAAATGCATGTCATTGAATGCATTTTGGTTAAGACAACTTCAAGGAATGCATTGCATTGCATTCCTTTGGTCGCCTTGTAAACATAAATATTGATTGCGACAATTAAAAAAGAAATATTTGCTCTTCGAGGCGTTTTTTCAAACAACAACATTTTAATATTCTAATCATGCAGTCAATGATATTCAATCAAGTATATTTATATATAGTGTGTTGGCAACTTTCAGAAGTACAACAACAGCCACGCTGCACTAGATAAGCGAAAATGTATACGAGCCGTTAATTGTGAAAAATTCGATTTGATTTGATTAATTTTATATATCCACCACAGAATGATGAGTAGTAGGTATATTGATTTGAGCCAGGACGCTTGCAAAACCCGGCGAAAAGAGACTCAATAAAGTATATATATTTTTGATCAGCGTCAAGTTCTGAATCGATTGAAACATGTCCATCTGTCTGCGTTGTCCCTCTGCATAATGGTCGTGGTAGACAATCTTCTGGTCGCAAAGACTATTGACTTTAAATTTGGCAGACAGATTGAAAATTCTTGCACCCATGTTTTTATTTAAAATGGGCCATATTGGCCGAAGAAACCGGCAACAGTATAACGAGATTTGAGACCGCCTCTGCTTTTAAAATAAGAAAAAAATGGTTTTCTTGGCCGAGACAGATAAATGATTCTACAACGCTTGCAGATAAATGTAAACAGTCGGCCACGCCCAGCGAATATCTTCAAATGGTCCATTTTAGTTATTTTATCAGCAAAGCGCAGAAGAAAGTTCCAGGTGCTCTACAAAGAATATATGTATTTGACGCGTGACAAAAATTATTCGATATGCGCATGTATGTCCTTCGATCGATTAATTTGTGTGCATGTGTGCTTTGTAATAACGATTACTTCGATCGCAAATTTGAACAGTGAAACATTGAAAATGATTGCAGACGAAATCAGTCAATTTAATATGATGGCTTTTGTGGGGTGGCATGGTGTTGGAGGGGGGCGAGG